AAACTACCCCCTTCTGGGACCCAGCCAGGGGGAACAAGAAACTAGCTGACAACAATGGCTCCAGAGGGACTAAACTGCAAACGAACAGAGCAATCTCAGGAGGAAGCCAGCTAGAACCATACCTGGCTAAAAGTCACTAGAATACCAAAGTCACAGCACTCTCCCCCTCCTACTCTACCTAAAAATGTAAAAAAATAAGCACTCTTGCTCTTCAGGGTGATGCCTATTGAATCTCAGCGGCCTTCACCGAGGTGCTGAAGAAACTTTAGCTATTGCTTTACATCCGGCTTTGTGATTTGATTGTGTGGACTGGTACCTTACACCTGCCACCAACTCTCTATCTGCACTGCAGTCAGAAAGAGCTTTCTTCTCAATGTTAAAAGCATTGTCGCTATAAAGATAATACCTGCTTGTTGTGCAATAGAGAAATGAACTTGATTCCACCCTCATGTCTTTCAACACATTTTTGCCTTGATTTTTTAATGGATACATAATAATATATATTTATGGGGTACATAGTGATGTTTGCATACATACATTGTATAATTAGCATAAGCATTATCTCAAATATATCACTTTTTCGTGTGTGTTGGGAACATTTAATATCCTCCCTTCTATTTGAAAACATGTATTACCATTGCTGAATAGTATTTCATTGTGTGCACATACCACATTTTCTCTGTCCATTAATCTGTTGTCATATACTTGGGTCAATTCCATATCTTGCCTACTGTGACTAGTACTACAATAAACATAAAGGTGCAGATGTCTTTTTGATATACTGATTTCTTTTCTTATAGATAAATGCCCAGTAGTGGGATTGCTGGACTATATGGTAGTTTTATTTGTAGTTTTTTGAGGAACCTCCATAATGTTCCCCATAGTGACTGTGCTAATTTATATTCTCACCAGTGGTGTGTAAGAGTTTTCTTTCCTCTGCATTCTCAATGAGCATTTGTTATTTTTTTGTCCTTTTGATAATAGCTCTCCTAACCTGGGTGATCTTATTTCATTCTGGTTTTGATTTGCGTTTCCCTAATCTGTGATGCTGAGCGTTTTTTATGTCTGCTGGCCATTAATATGTTCTCTTTGGTGAAATGTTTGTTCAGATCGTTTTCTCACTTCTTAATCTGATTGTGAGATTTTTATTTCTGTTGAGATATTAAAAATCCTTGTATATCCTGAGTATTAACCCCCTGTTGGATGAATAGATTGCAACTTTTTTCCTCCCTGTTGTCTTTTCACTCTGTTGATTGTTTTCTTTGTTCGGCAGAAGCTTTTTAGTTTGCTGTAGTCCCATTTGTTTATTTTTGCTTTTGTTGCCTATGCTTTTGAAATCTTATTCCTAGAATATTTTCCCAGACCAATGTCCTAAAGCATTTTCCCTATTTTTTATTCAAATCGTTTTATACAGGGTGGCCTTAAAGTCCACGTATATTTTGAATTGCACCCGAACTTTATGGCCACCCTGTATTTGCAGGTACTGCACTTAGAGTCAAGCTCTGTGACACCAAAGTTCTTCCTACTACTTCCCCCGACTCATAATGCTGGTGAAAACTAGGGGCTGAGCCAAGTAGAGAAAGAGTTCAAGTCCAAAGTCCCTGGTAGGAGGGAGGCAGATAGAGGGATAGAAATTAACCACAGAACTAGGGGAAAGTTCGGTGAAAGGGGATTTATTCTTTGGTTTGGATAGAAGCCAGGGTGGAAAGAAAAGTCCTCTAGCCTGGAGCAGTTTTGTAATGAATTACTTGTCATGAGGTAGAACAAAGGGGGTGGGTATTGGAAGTCAGAATGTAGATGGGTAACAAAGCAGGATAAAATAGAGCCACTTGGAGAGCTGACTTTGAAGGAATCTTTCCTGAAGATACATATTTTGTTTCATTTTCTGAATTGGTGGTCTTTGGCATAAGAAAGTGATGGGAGTGGTAAATTGAATATGAACTTGGCCCATTTCCTGCTCTTTCATATATAGTGGATTTGCCAGTGCTATTTCTTTTTTTCCTGGGATTTGCCAACTGGTAAATTCCTGAAAGCTCTCTTAATTTATTTTCTCTTTCCTTGGGCCTGAGCCCACTGTTTATTCCTTCAGTGCATCCCCTATCATGCTTTAGTGTACTGAATTATTTTTCTGCCTTGAGGTACTAAACTGTGAGCTCAAAGATATTTGGGGTTTTCTTTGGTAAATAAATGAGTGCATAAATGAATATTTCTATGAAGTATTCACAGAAGGGATTATTATCCCACTTATTTTAGTTTCCTAGGTCTATTTTAACAAATTACCAGAAATGTGATGATTTAAAAACTGGAAATTTATTCTCTCATAGTTGTGGAGGCCAGAGTCTCAAATATCTCCCCGCTCTGTCTCCCTATGGTCTTCTCCCATGAGTGTGTCAAATCTTTGCCACAGTCTTATTGAGGGCACAAGTGATTTCTTTTAGGGCTCACTTTGATAATGCAGGGTAATCTCACAATCTCAAAATCCTTAATGAAATCACATCTTTAAGGCCATTTTTTTTCTAAAAGGCAACATATACAGGCTCTCAGACGTAGAACCTAGTACCTTTGGGGGTCATGACCCTGCCACAGTTTATCTTCTGTTTCCCAAAAATTCATGTCTATTATGCAAAATATATTCATGCACAATATATTCACCCCTTCTTAACATCCCCAAAGTCTCAATTCTTCATAATATCAACTCTAGTCCAAAATCGCATCTAAATATCATTAGCTCAAAAATCTCAATCTTATCACTCAAGCCATCTAAGGTATGGATGAGACTTTAGGTATAAGCCATCTTTGGGTAAAATATTTCTTAAAAATCTCTGGAGCTATGAGAGAGAGAGAGAAGTTCTCCATCCCCTATAATATTTATTCCAAAATGAAGAAAGCGGAAGAGCAAAAAGGAATCTCTGGTCTGCAGAAATTTTGAAATCCAGCAGGCAAACTGCATTAGGTTTCAAAGCCTGGGGATAATCCTTTGTGGCTTGATGCTCCACCTCTGGACCCTCTGGGACTAAGGTTTTGCCATCGTAGTCATTCTTCCTTTCCCTTGAAGGATAGTACTTATTTTCAGCTTAGTAGTTTTTTTCAGCTTATTTCTTTCCTTTAGAATTTTGAGTGCTCAGGAGCCTTCTTTCATTTGGCCCCTCTTTCCTTTACCTGAAGATAAAGCAATCATTGAAACAAGACATTTTAATGACATTCAGGACATCGAGGGTTAGTTTTTATGGCCATTCCAGAAAAAGAGTTCCAAAATTTCTCTGAAGTGTGGACTAGGTGCTGGCAACAGTGCCTAGCTTCCCAAAGGCAGTACTTTGAAGGTGACAATAGTGATTTTCAGCAATGAGGTATGTAGCACTTTTTCTAGGATGAGTTTGCAAACTTAATAAAACAGAATAGATACAGGACCCAGATATAAAACCATGTCCGTATTGCCGTTTGATCTTTGACAAAGTAGGCTGCAATGTACCTGGGGGGAAATCTGTATCCAATAGTGATGCTGAGAAAATCGGATAGCCACATGGAGAAGATTGAAACAGGATCCATATTTCTCACCACTAACTAAAACTAATTCAAGATTGTTAAAGCAAATGTAAGACATGAAACCATAAGAATCTAAAAGAAAATTTTGGAAAACCTCTTAATAGATATTGGCAAAGAATTTATGAAGAAGATTCCAAAGGTAATCACAGCAACAACAAAAATAAATAAATGGGGCTTTATTAAATAGCAAATAGACACCTACAGAGTGGAAGAAAATATTTACCTACTATACATCCAACAAAGGGCTAATAGTGAGAATCTACAAAGCACTCAAGCAAAGTAGCAAGAAAAAAAAATCAGATGATCTCATTAAAAAGTGGGCAAAAGACATGAACAGAAGCTTTCAAAAGAAAAGAGACTGGGCAGTGCCTGTGGCTCAGTGGGTAGGGCACTGGCCCCATATACCGAGGGTGGTGGGTTCAAACCTGGTCTCCGGCAAACTGCAACAAAAAAAATAGCCGGGCATTTTGGCAGGTGCCTGTGGTCCCAGCTACTCGGGAGGCTGAGGCAAGAGAATCACCTAAAGCCCAGGAGTTGGAGGTTGCTGTGAGCTGTGATGCCACCGCACTCTACTGAGGGCAATAAAGTGAGACTCTGTCTCTACAAAAAAAAAAAAAAGAAGAAGAAGAAGAGGCTCGGTGCCTGTGGCTCAAGCGGCTAAGGCTCCAGCCACATACACCCGAGCTAGTGGGTCTAAATCCAGCCCAGGCCCACTAAACAACAATGACCGCTGCAACCAAAAAATAGCCAGGCATTGTGGCAGGCACCTGTAGTCCCAGCTACTTGGGAGGTGGAAGCAGGAGAATCGCTTGAGCCCAGGAGTTGGAGGTTGCTGTGAGCTGTGATGCCATGGCACTCTACCCAGGCCACAGCTTGAGGCTCTGTCTCAAAAAAAAAGAAGAGAGTAATGGCCCATAAACATGTGAAAAAAAAAAAAGTTCAACATCACTAATCATCAGAGAAATGCAATTCTGAAATGCAATGAGATATCATCCAACCCTAGTGAGAATGGCTAAATGTATCTTTACTTACAAAATATTCACTACAAAGTTTTACAAAGAGGTGGCAAACATGTAGAGAATATTTTGTAAATATTTTGAGAATTTTATTTGATGATGTAAAAAATGTGCTACTGAATGAATATTATTACAATGTAGTAAAGAAGAGTGCAAATCCTTTGAAGTCAGGGCTTATACATGTTTTCCTTCCAGCCATGCGCCCCACCTAGCTTACTGGCTCGCACAGAGTCAGTGCTCCCTAAACAGGTGTGAGCAATGTAGAGGGGGGACTTAGGTGCTGCCCGGACATTACCACTATCATCAGATGAAGCTTCTCTCTCTGCTTATTCAGCTGGATCCTTCAGTTAATCAGTTCAAGGTGCTGAGGTCCAAGCTCCGTCCTCATCCTTCACCCTCCCACAGGTGGGTGGAGCAGTCCTCCCAGGATTTAGCAGTGCAGACAGGGGCAGCCAGCAGTCCCACAGGTGTTGCATCATGAGTGTGTCTGTGCTGAGCCCCAGCAGACTCCCGGGAGGCATTGGGCTCCTCCAAGTGGCCTCCCTGCTGGTCCTGTTTCTGCTGCTGCTCAAGTCAGCTCAGCTCTTCCTGCAAAGGCAGTGGTTGCTCAGAGCCCTCCAGCAGTTCCCGGGCTCTCCCTCCCACTGGTTCTTTGGGCACAGCCGGCAGGTAGGAGGGAGCTGGACAGGGGAGTGGGAGGGTCAGGAGGGCTGGGGCATGGACAGCCTGGTCAGCAAGTCCAGAGGGCAAAAGCCTTAGGCCAGGGGCAGTGATTCATGCCTGTAATTCTAGCACTTTGGGAGGTTGAGGAGGGAGGATCACCTGAAGCCCAGAGTCAGCCCAAGCAGAGCCTTGCTGTGGAATGAACATGTGGACTCTAAGAAATAACATGCCTGCCCTCCAGTCTTGGCTTATCACAGCCATGGGGAGCTCACTCCCTCACCAAGGAAATGGTTGGTGTTTCCTGGGTCTCTCCCACTCCAGGCTGAGCACCCCCAGCAGCCTCAGCATTCTTAAAGAACAAGGCTTCTAGACGCTTCTCTGCCCCAGTCACTCAATACTATCCCCTCTACTTCGCCCCAAGCTGGCCTAGGAACATGAGTCTGGTGCAATCCCTGCCTGTGCATGTTCTATAGAGACCATAGGCACAAATCCTAGGAGGTGTCAGGCTGAAGGGAGACGGCTCACTTTACTGGGGCAGGTGGATGATGTCAGGTGCAGGGGACCAACTGGCTCTGTTTGCCCAAGACTGAGGGAATTTCCAGCACAGGTGATTTCAGGGCTGAAATCCTGACAGTCATGGGCATACATGAGAAGGCTGGCCTGCGTGATGCCCTACAGGTAAGGGGTATTGATGTCTGAGTTGCACCATTGGACAGTGTCTGTTGACCTCCCAGCTCTTCTCCCACATACCTGGCCTGTGAACTACTTAGAGCTGAGCATATCACTCCCTCCCTGTGCCCTAGCACCCAGCAAGAGCCTGGCATAGTGGCATGGTCAGCCCAGGTATGTGGAGAGACAGAGGAAGGAGGACAAGGGGAAGCTGGATGGTTAGGACGGCTCAGAGCCCAGCCCCCTGCCTTTCCTGTACTGGAGGAGTGGGCAGAACTTGGTAAGGGCTGCATGGAGGGGGCTTGGCAAGGGCTTGTGGACTGGTCATACTTAAGAGGAGATGTGGGTTGCACAGAGCTGAAATCTATTGTTTCTCAGCAAAAAAAAGCAACATGATTATTAGCAGAGTGGAACGAAAGTAGGGAATTGGAAATATCCAAGCCATCTTGAACTGATTCATCCCAGTCCTCTCTTAATCTTTCCCAGTCTCCTCCTTTACTCTAAGTCACTCATTATCCTCCTTTCTTGCCTATGCATTTCAACCTCTTGATCTCTGCTCACACTATGCTGTCTGCCTGGAATAACCTTGTCTCACATATGTCCATTGGCCAAGACCATCCCCCAGACACCTTTTCCAAGAAGTCCTCCTCGGCCTCCCAGAAGTGGAGGGAGAAGTTCTTTTCACTATAGACTACCCTCAAGAGGGCAGAACAGTGTTAACCTGATTGAGTTATTTTTCTGCAGCATTGTAACTGTAGGCTCCTTCTGGGAGAGACCATCTCTGATTCATCTTTGTAACCCGATAGCCCTGTAGTAAATGATGACTCAATCAATAAATGAACAAGTGAATGACCAGAGCTTTCTAACATTCAGTTCTGAGTTAGGCACCCTCTCCAAATCTTCCCGAGGTGCTTGGGCTTCCTTCCACTCCAACACTAATTATGCTCCACTGTATAGCCTCTAATCTTTCTGCCTCCTCAACCAGACTGGATATTCCAAACAGGTAAGGATCCATAACTGTATCCTAATCCCATAGCTGAACCAGTGCTTTGCACATAGTATGTGTTAAGTCAGCATGTGCTAAATAAAGGAATCTGTCCTACAGCAGGGAAGGTTGCCTCAGAGCTGGGGGACATGGTTGTCAGAAGGATATGGGCAAAGATTGGATGCCTATGTAACAGAAAATTGCTTTGAGTTACATAGAAGCAGGTGGAGTACAGAAGAGTTGACTAAATGGAACATCTCTTGGACCAAATGTCTATCTCCAGACGAGATAAGACAAAGCTGAGTCCTGGAAGTTGAAGAGAGGCTGTTGTTCTATGGCAAAGTGGAAGGACATCCAGGCAGAGAAAAATCAAGTGCAAAGACCTAAGAGAGTGGGTGGGTGTGAGGGGGCAGCTGCAGCACTGGGCATGGAACAAATGGGTCATGGTGGAATTGCCATCATGGCAGGAGGCAAGAATAGAGAGGCCAGGAGACAGAGGGCTTTGTGATCCACATTGAAGACTTTTGAAAGCCAACTCCGGGGGGGGGGTGGAGGCAAGATGGTGGACTGCAGCCAGCTTTCTACAGAGGCTCCTGTCCAGAAGGAGACTTAAAGGACAGAAGTTTAACAAGTGAGCTGGTGGTTTGGAGCTGAGCCAAGAGAGAAGATTGAAGAATGCACTTCAACCTTTCTGAGGTGAGCTGCAACCCCAAAAATGCAATCAAAAGGTACAAAATCCACCACCAAGCAGACGGGAGTCCCCTCCCCCACAAGAAGGGCTCACAGTTTACTCCATACAAACAAGTGAGCAGAGTTCAAACATCCTTCCACTCTATCCCATGTGACTTAGGTCACAAGTCTAACCTCAGAAAATTTAAAAGAATAGAAATTATCCCATGCATCTTCTCGGACCACCATGGAATAAAAGTTGAACTCAGTAACAACAGGAATCTGTAGACTCATACAAAAACATGGAAACTAAATAACCTTATGCTGAATGATAGATGGGTCAGAGACGAGATCAAGAAGGAAATTACCACATTTTTAGAACAAAACAACAATGAAGACACAAGTTATCAGAACCTCTGGGATACTGCAAAGGCAGTCTTAAGAGGGAAATTTACAGCATTGCAAGCCTTTCTCAAGAAAACGGAAAGAGAGGAAGTTAACAACTTAATGGGACATCTCAAGCAGCTGGAAAAGGAAGAACATTCCAATACCAAATCCAGCAGAAGAAAAGAAATAACCAAAATTAGAGCAGAAGTAAATGAGATTGGAAAGAAAAGGATTATAGAATAGATCAATAAATCAAAAGTTGGTTTTTTGAAAAAGTTAATAAAATAGATAAACTTTTGGCCAACCTAACCAAGAAAAAAATCTCTAGTCTCATCAATCAGAAATGGTAAAGATGAAATAGCAACAGACCCTTTAGAAATTTAAAAAAATCCTTAATGAATATTACAAGAAACTTTATTCCCAGAAATATGACAATCTGAAGGAAATTGACCAATACTTGGAAGCACACCACCTCC